CTCAAGCAGGCGGTAGCCCTTTGTGACGTTTGTCGATGTAGCCGAGAGCGTGGGTGGAGCCGTGGTCGAGGTAGCCATGCGAAGAATGTCGTGATCGATGTCGAGTCGGGGTAGCCGGTGTCGAGGAAGTCGTCGTGGAGTCGCAGGCGCAAAGACGCGCCGAGTTAGTCGTGGGCGCAATGGTGTCGAAGTAGTGGTGCGCCAGGAAGTAGATGATGTTGACGACACGTCGCGCCGGGGTTGCCAACCCCGGGGACACATCATAGACGAAGGCACGCGTCGGTGTTGCCAGGACCGGGCATGCGTAGACAGACGAAGACGAAGTTGACGAAGAACCGCACCAGGCTTGCCAGGCCCGGGGACACGTCGTGGACGAAGGCACGCGGCGGTGTTGCCAGCACCGGGCAGGCGTAGACTGGGACTTGCACGAGCTATACGCCATGTCGAAGAAGTCGGAGAGGCCAGCAGAGAAGGACTCGACGACGGTTGCGGTGCCAATCGGCGCGGGGCCAATGCCGCCGTGGTTGTCGGAGTAGATGAAGCGGTCAGGGTAGATGACAGCGACGCTGGCGACAAACTGATGCTGGACGAAGACGAATGGGGTGGATGGGCGGCTGTGGCGTCTATGAGGGTAGCGGTGGCGGCGACCGGAAGAGCGGCGGCAGCGGCCGGACGGCGGCCTGACGGAGGCGGCGGCGGCTAGGTTAGGAGCGCGACGACGATGCTCGGAGTAGGCGAAGAACCCTGACAGCATGACGAAGACCGGCGCGGACGGTGGCGTTCCCGCGCCAAGGAAGACGGCGCGACGCATACCACAGGAAGTCGACGCGCGGGGACGACGAATTGGACCGTGGGCCGCGGCACTACGGCCCAAAGGGGTGACGCAGCGGCGGCGGGCAGGTCGGGGTGACGGCAGGAAGACCTCGGGGCGGCGGCGGGGACCGCGGGCCGTGGCGCTACGGCCCGAATGGACGATGCAGCGGCGGAGCGTGGGTCGGTGCAACCGCGGGGACGGCCTCGGGGTGGTGGCTGGGTCCGCGTATCGCGACACTACGGCCCGTAGCGGCGACGCACGAGTCAATGCAGTCGCGAGGAGAACCACGGGGCGGTGGCGCTGCGGCCCGACGGGGCGACGCAACGGCAACCCGTTGCTCAATCGGTGCAGGGACGCGCTGAACTCGGGGACGATCTTCACGATCCTGCCTTGTCTTGTAGTCCAAATTGGTCTTTGTACTCCTATATATATGCCCACGAGGCTCAAGCAATACAACAAACTATTCCATCAATCCCTTCTCTCCTTTCTAACATGGTATCAGCCTTATCTCGATCCTAAGCCCTAGTCGTCGCCACTTCCGCACCCGCGTGCCGCCCCCGGGGCTGTCAACCTCCATGACCGCCGCCGGGGGCTGCGCCGCCCGTACCTAGGGTTCATCCACCGGTTGTGTCGACTGGCTGCCCTAGAGAGTCTTTTTCCCGATCCTTTGATCTGTGTTTTTCCCTCTCTCGCTGGTCGCTTTGATCGGCGTCTACTTTTTGATTTTCCGATCCACTAGATCGGTTTGCGTCGCCCACCGTCGCCGTCGACACCCCGCGCATCCACTCTGACACCGGCGTGCCCGGCTGGCTACTTCACCGACCCGGCGGCCTTGCACAACAGGCGGCCCCTCAAGGCCGTCGTCTGCGCGCAGGCCTACCCGTCGCCCTGCGCCGACCGTCACCGCCTGCTCCGATCGGGACACCTGCATCGCCTACACCCGGCGGCCTCACGCCCTACGGCGGCCAATCATAGCCGCCGCTCGCACGTTGGTCCACCAGTCGATCCACGCCACCCGCCTCTGCCGTGTCTGCACGGCGGCCCTGCGGGTTGCCTCGCTGGCCTCGTCCCCGGCTACGTCGGGCCGGCTGCGTCAGGCCTGTCGGCTGCCTTGAGCTCGGGCGCCACTGCTCCGTTGGTCGCTCGGGCCTCGCTCCCAGGGCGCCGACGCTGCTGTGGTGGCCCGGTGCCGGTTTTGACGCGCTCGTTCGCTCGTCGTCCCACGCCGTCCATTGTCGCCGGCTTCATATCGGACTCCGCCGCCACCCCGTTTCCACCGAGCGGCGTCCCCGACCTCGCGTGCGATCGGCTTGATCACCCGCTCGCCGTCGTGATCCGCGTTATCTACGCCGCG